ACTTATCCAGCTGCGTCTGGCTTAGGTCTGGCTGCTGTGCTCAGCTCCTTCCTGCTGCGGACCAGGGCTAGGACTGGGTCTGGAGGTTCCTGGAAGTGGGCAGAAATTCCTACTGAGTGGAGGGATGGGGGAGGTACGGCGCAGGGGTGGGGGGGCCGCTGGAAGGGGTGGGAGAGGGTCCAGCGCACGCTGCCTCCTGGGCTGGGACTGGTCCCGCCGGTGCAGGGTAGCAGGAAACTCTCCGCACACTCACGGGACCTGGGCTAGGACTGGGTCTCGAAAATTACTTTTCAAAAGAAATTGTAATATATATATATATACCGAGGAGGTTGTTCTATGGTAAATATGATGTTTATTAAAATTTTACACATTGTATCTCCAAATATAGCAGCCATCTTCAACCATTGTAATGGAAGTAGTTCATAGAAACATTATATTTAAAGTACATAAAACTAATTTTTAAGAGAAACATTTTTATTTATGTATATATGTTCACATATCTTCCTGTATGGCATTAATAACAATAGTAATAATAATAATAAATAATTTGATCATTAAAAGAATATTGACTAGCTCCTAGCTCTTTTTAGATAATCTTGATACTATTTCTGGTTTTGGCATGAAATGATTTATATTTTTCCATGTACAGTAAGAGAAATTTCACTATAAGATACATAAAAGAAACAATACCAAACACTCTCATAAATACTCTGACATCATGTCTATGATTGAAAGCTCCTGTTTTTAGGGTTCCACAGATGTGATGATTTAGTGAAGCAGGAAGACACATGCATGTAGCCATGTTTAAGGACCAAATATTGTACTGGATCAACTTGTGTACATGTATTAAAGATATGCAGACGATTATGTTTAACAAAATTTGCTTTGCAACTAATAGGTCTTTTCAGTTTGACATGAAAGTACAGGATTAAAAAGCAAGAATTTAGAGAAATGAATAAGAATTTCATTTAAGTAAAACTTATCTTATTCAAAGAATTGTTAAAGCTTAATCAAAAAAAGCTTAATCAGAAAACTAAAAACATAGGGGAACAGTTTGTTGAAAATGAGTTATGTTGATACTAAAAGAATTAGACATTAAAATTATTCTTGACTCATGTTCTCTGTTGGTTGTAAGTACTATGAATTGAGGATGGGAACTGTTTGCTGATTGGGTATCTTGCAAATACGTCTATTTCATGGTTCATCTTGTCTTTTAATTTTTTATTTCTTACATTAAGAGCAGTA